CATTTCCATATTAGAATCGTATTGCTCGTCCTTCTTGAAATATATAGCGCAACATGACCGTACAGTACCTTGATCCTCGTATGAAGTTGGCAACATGAAGGTTTTAAAGCCAGTTGGTACGACAAATCCTTATGACATGCAGGACTGCCTGGCAGGATGGAATTCCACGCCCCTGAGCAGGCGCTGCATAGTGCCTTTTCCAGGGAATGGCCTTATAAGGCCCTATCAAGCTGCAACATACCGACCCAGACGCCCACCGCGCCCGCCCGCCCACAAATGGACGACCGCACCTGATGCTCGTATCGCTTCGGTTCATTTGCGAAGTGCAATGAAAAGCGAATTGGTCGATATCAAGCGGCTGCGGTGCTGCATGAATGTATGAGTACATACATCTAGCTGCGCCTAGCGTAGCGGTTATTGGCATGACGCCTGAGGGGAACTCGTCCAAAATTGCTTTCTGAGTCTTGAAAAAGGAAGACTTTTCTTTGCAGATTTTTGACCGCTTCACTTCGTTTCGCCGTTTTCCCCACCATATGTATAGCACCCTGCTAGGATTTTAGACCGAGTACCAAATTATCGTGCCTTATGCCTTTAAACAGTGTCATGAACCAGCTTAGGGTAGACGCGATAGGGGTTGATCCATTAGCAATTGCATGGTCATGTCGTGTTACAATAGGATGTAAATCAGGTTTTTTTTTCGTTGCTTTTAACTGATTTATAGAGTTCAGAGTCAGGCCGCAGTGCCTCGCCACGTAGGGCGGGCGCGAGGCTGCGAAAATGAGCGGTTCTTGTGGAATAGAGAGGTGAGTACATGTTCTCGAACATTACATTGCGTGTCGAGTTTCAATTAGTCTTCCGCAGAATTTGACTTAAGCCGCCAGATATCCAGGTAGTTAGCGAAATTAGGTGGCTAAAATTCATATTTGACTGGGACCCCATGCGTCAAGTGTGGACGTAAGCCTCGCCGTTGTGTAGATTGAAAGAAATTTATGGACCTTTATAAAAGGCATAGGCAAAGAACGATGGGAATAGCAAACCACACCAAGCCTGCGCTAGTGAATGTAATAGAAGTTACGCAAGACGAAGAAGAAGAAATTAAGGTTTTACTGACACTGAGTCATGTTTCCCACTTAGTCATTCGACGCACAAAAACGTTATCTGTTTGAACCAATATGATAAGCGCTTGTGCTTTCTGATAGTTGATCTCATGCGTACAGTAGCTGACGCTTCGGTGCACCCTCAAAGAACGTACACTCACAAGAGTCGTGTATGCAGCTTGTTATATTTTATACTGGCAGCAAAACCACAGTTTTGTTAAGGTTCGTGAAATAAAAACAAATCCATTGGGCATTGTTTTCCTTTTCCGAGATTTCTTGTGGGGACCGTTGTAGGAAAATGCCTATGTTTCGCTTTATTGAGTTCGTTAGAGGGATTACTGCTAATGACTTACCTTCGTTGATCTGAAGAGAAGCTTGGGCCCTGAAAGTTACCGGCGAAAGTTTGGAATACAAAAGCTGCAATGGCGTACATAACGAGAATGCATAGGAATTGTAGAGAAGTGAGGAAGGTGGCGCTGTTGGGGGACGGGCATTTTGTAAATTGTAAGCTGTCAAAATACAAGACAAAAACTAGTAATTTCTTGTAATGCTTTGGAATGGTACCGATTCAACTTGTACACCATGGGTCCGGATTTTATATTTTTTCTAAACATTTACAATAAAAGAAAACGTTTACTGTGTTATTGTTTGTGTTTTGTGATTAGTAAAATTTCGGTCCCTTTGGTGCCTCGGCCTACATACATAGTACGAGTGGGCCTGCTACCATTTTGGTTTACTTTACAGCAGTTTATAGAACTTAGCGAAATGATTCAGCACATTAACAGGAGTACAAAATACAACCTCCACTCCCGTAGCGGACTTGCTTCTTTTTACTTTCTAGTCTACTGTTCTGCTATTGTTATTGTTTAACATTATTCTTTCTATTCTTTGACTTCTTGCCTTTCAGTCCGTCACTTTATAAGAACAAGCGTGCAGGGAAAGGTGAAGCCTATGAACCAACAACATATGAACACTGGGCAAACACAATATCACACGCTGTGAGTTTTTGACAACGCTCTTACCTTTCTGAATGACTGTTCTGTAGATTCTCGTTTTAGGTAGGAATAGTGCCTAGTGTGGTTGTGTTTTGGCATATGGTCACAATATCCCATCGCGAGCTACAGTTCTATTTGATGATCGTATATGGCTTGTTCACCACGTTGTTGTTCTCGTCTTCTACATGTTACCACGTTTGCGAACTGAAGTTTAGACAGAAGCGGACGTAAGTTGTTCGGGGTGTTGCTTTTTCCCATCGAGAATTTGATGCTTATGCTTGAATATTTCAGGCAGACGCGGTTGCGATACTATCTTCATATATGTGATCGCGCCGCCATTTATCTATTCATAGCAGCCTCCTACACACCATGGCTAACTCTTCGACATTGTGGATACCCTGGCCTGAACCTGAAGTGGATGATCTGGGTGTTCGCACTCCTTGGAATACTGTATCAGTACAATTTCCACGAAAGGTATGTGTATTTTACTGAAATTCTCACGATGTATTAAATTGGCGGAGAAGTTCTGTCATACTTTTTTGAACTCAAAATACTTGCTCATACTTTGAGGAATACCCAAGAAGTTACTCCTCATAAGATAA